CCGCTCTGCGCACGTGGCTGCAGCCCCCGCTGCTTCTTCTGGGACCGCGGGGCACAGCCCCGTAACAGGGCGCTCCCAGCCGTTGCTGGTCGGTGTTTGTTGGGTGTATTTGAGCCGTTTGGTAGGTGTCAAAGAGGTTTGCGTTCCTTGTAGAGAAATTCCCCTAATTCTTAAGTTGTGGGTTTTTTCCTAGCTACGTTTCTATTTATTTTTGCTGCTATTTTCTATTTCTGTTTGGAGGTGTGAGGTAACGGAGGCAGAGGATTCCCGCCTGTCAGGGTAGCATGGACCGACCTTAGCTGGCTGCTGTGCAGCTCAGCCCTGTGTGCCCCAGCACTGCTCCCTCCTGCAGGGTCTCCTACTCGGGAAAACTTTCGCTTCAGGACTCTGCGAACTCATAATCACGAGTTGTCATCCTTCTAGGTGAGAAAGATGGATCAGTCTGCTTAAGAAACAGAAAAACCTTTTTTTCCCGCTTTTAATAACAAACCAAAGCTTGGTTCCTTTGCAGATGTGCAGTTGCAGATGTTGGGCAGTAATTTGATATCAGTAGATGGACATGTACCATGATACGTGCTGAAATCTTAAGAGACAACAGGAGAGAAACACCCTGTTGTTCAGAGAATTGCACCAGATGCTGATGGGTTGTAACATAATGGTTACCTTTAAGATTATTACAGCAAGTACTTCCATCCAACTTCAGTCTAAATAGAGATGTCCTTTTTGACACACAACAAATAACTTGTTCTCCAAAAGTGATACTGAGCTAGATGTTTTTGCACTATTTTTGGTGGTTAGCTGCCCTTTGCTCAACTTAGTATTATTTCTTAGTTAGCATTCAAGAGAGACTTTTTGGTATCCAGTAGACATGAGATGCTCCCGGGGGACATCTGTGAGATCATTGAAAACTGATATCATTTTACAGCCCCATTACCAAAAATAATTGTTTTGTTTTGAATTGAAGTGCTGGTCCATCAGACAGGTTTGTAGAAGGCATCTCTTTAGGTTCCCACTGTTTGTGCTTCAGAGTGTATTGTTCTGAAGAGCCTGCAGTTCACTTGTGTTAGGCTGTGGGAGGGGATGTGGATGTGCAGCAGATGGAAGGTGAAAGATTCCTTTGCCTGTAGATGAGACAGACAAGTGTCACAGATGGGAATGAAAAGTCTTTACTGGAGAGGAACTTCCTGAAGGTATGGAAAGTTCATGCCCTGCAGTGTTAGGCATCAGCAGCACAAACACAGTGCCCAGGAAGGTGTGTGTGCTCCTCAGGCTGAGAGGGGGAGCTTGATGTGCTTTCTGTGTGTGTAGGGCAGAAGTTGCCAGTGGTCAGAAGTGCTCCCTGTCACTGACACAGAGGTCCCTGCTATTGCCACAGCGTGTGTGTTAAGTGTAAACTCTCATTTATTGGTGCTGCCCAGAGTCCCTGTGCTGTTCTGAGCTCCCTGTGAGCTCTAGGGAAATTCAGGCCACATGTTCTGGGGCAGGTGAGTTCTCCTGCTCACACACTGCAGGGTGAATAATGGGTGATTATTCCCTGCTCAGCTTTACCACTATAATAACATAAATACTGAAAGTAAACATTGAAGTTTACAGTAGAATTCCTGGAATACGGAAACATATCAGAACCTTATCAGTAGTCATAAGTTATACAGTCCAAATGTATATTTTATAGCTTGTTATTAAGATGGCAGCTGATTTGATTGATGCAAAGAAAGAAATTGAAACAAGTGATTTTGTGGAAGCAAAGACGGTGCTCCTGGGTTAATGTGTTTCTTTTGAGGTGGCTGAAAATAAGATTTAGCACCTTAATAGGAAATGTATTGGGGTGGTTTTTGTGGGGTTTTGTTTTCAGAAAGGGAAAGTTACCTTTGCTCCAGTACTTGAAATGTTTAAGGGAGACAAGATTCGGTTGGTAATGAACAAAACAGTATCAGATATGAGGAGGACCAGTTTAAAGACTGTAAGAGAGGTGCCACGAGAGGCAGGGAACAGCTCTGGGGCTGCAGCTGCTCAGTGTATTCTTTCACAGGTGCCATTGAAGCTGCTCTACCTGCATGGGCAAAATTGAGGAATTTTTAAAAGTCATTAGTTCAGCTGAGTTTGTATATTAATAATGCTACATTTAGTGGGATTATTTTCTTTAAGATGCATGCAACATGCTTTTTAAAAAGGCAACAGCTGACTATGCTGGCCTGTATCTAAACAAGCATCACAGGATTTTTTTTGTTATATTGAGTCAAGAGCTGCTCTGTGCCCAGAGTTATAGAGATATATATATATAGGGTATGGTTCCTACGAATATAACTGTAACAGGATAATTTTTAATGTGGAAATAGTTCTGCTTATATAAATAAATCTGTTGCTAGAAGTGTTTATTGATAGTGTAAGAGATGGAGATGGCAATGAAAGGTGCTGCTCTGAGTCTCTGCATTGGAAGAAGAAGAACCCTTGTTGCTGTTAATCTAGTTTTATTAAAAATAAATCCTATACCTTCAGTATATGTGGGAGGTTTATTTTGCCTCACCTCACACATTTGGGAAGAATGCCTTAGTTTTCCTGGACAGAATGGCCAAATTGGCCTGTTCCTTTTGAGCTTTCAGGAAGAACTTAAGTGTGGTTTAAAAATCAGATGTGTGTTCCAGATTTGAATAAAGGCTTCTTGGAGAGGGTGTAACTCATGTTTACCTGAGGGCCATGTGCCTCAAGGCAAGGACTGCATTGTTCAGAGCTTCACTGCAGCTCTGGTGTCAAAAGGTAAACAGGAGCTTGTATTTAGTGTCTCTGATTTCCCTGTAGTGCTCTTGAAAGTGAATGAAGGTTGATGGTTTGGAGTAAGAATGGAGTAAATACCATTTTTTCTGCAGTGAGTCACTTTCAGTTACTGCCATTTATATCCTTACTGGTTTTTTGTTGTTGTTGTTGTTTTTTTTTAAGGTGGCATTAAAGATTATTTAGATGAAAACTGACAGTGGCTGTTGAGTCCAAGGCCTGTGTAGTTGGCCCTGTGGACACATCACACCTGCAGATGTATGCAGATCATGTGGCAAAAACCTTTCATTTAATATCTACTCCTCAAGTAGTGTCTAAAACAATTTACAAGAAACAAAAATATAACAACTTTGAGAGCAGCTGTTCCCTGAGGGAGCACTCCAACTCCTCCTGCAGATGGAGGAAAGGACCTGTTCTCAAGCCTTCCCTCACTGTTGGCTGTTTCTTCCCTGCCCCAGGTCTCAGCCAATGCTTTCTTTCGCTGTGTTCTTCCTCTCATGTGCAGTGATTTCTGACGGGACTCTGGATCTCAGTTTGTGCTCGTGCTGCAGCTGGGCCAAGGAAGCTGTTGGTGATGCAGCTTCATAGCAGCAACAGCAAGGGGACAAAATGGCTCTAGAAATCAAAGTGGGCAAAATAGTGGTCTTAAAATGCTTTTTTTTCACCTAAATAGTCAAACTCAAGTTTGTGATCTTCTTTTTTGTTTTGTTTCCCCATTGCTGCTGCTATGAAGCCCTTTGCCTATGGAAGGTTCCTGAGGCAGATGGAAGACAGCAGTAGCTGAGGTGGACTAACGCTGGAATGTAGGCAGGGATTGGAGCCCTTGGGAGCTATGCTTAGACAGAAAGGGAGAGAGGTAAGAAATGTGCAGTGTGAGACTGATCTGAAGCTCTTGTTTACAGCCTTTTCCCTGTGTTGTAATGGCAGCGTTTGTGCCTCGCGTGTGTGAAGTGTAAGGCAAGGGAAAACAAGCGGCACCAGCCTCCTTCAGTGCCTATTTTTACCCTTGGAAAACTCAGATGCAGCCAGTTGGCGAGATCCCTCCAGTATCTGATGGATCTGCTGTCTGAGACAGCGTGGATTGGCGGGGCTTTGGATGAGCTGGGGAAAGCATTCGTGTGCTCTTTTGTGTGCTGGTTTGTGCTGCCCCTCACACACAGCCGTGCCTGTGGCTGCTGAGGGCACAGCAGGGCTGCCCTGCAGTCTGGGTGTGAATACCTGAGTGTGTCTGTGTTGTGAATACCTGAGTGTGTCTGTGTTGTGTGAGTGTGTCTGTGTGTGTGTGTCTGCCTGTGTGTGGGAGTGTCTGTGTGTATCTGTGTGTTTGTATCTGTCTCTGTGTGTATCTGTGTGTGTGTGTGTCTGTGTGTGAGTGTATTTGTATTTGTGTGTGTGTGTGTGTCTGTGTGTGTGTGTGTATCTGTGTGTGTGTATCTGTGTGTGTGTGTGTCTGTCTGTATCTGTGTGTACGTGTGTGTATCTGTATCTGTGTGTGTCTATGTCTGTGTGTGAGTGTATTTGTGTGTGTGTGTGTGTATCTGTATCTCTGTGTGTGTATCTATGTGTGTCTGTGTGAGTGTGTCTGTGTGAGTGTATCTGTGTGTGTGTATCTGTGTGTATCTGTGTCTGTGTGTGTGTCTGTCCGTGTGTGTGTGTGTGTGTGTGTGTGTGTGTGTGTGTGTGTGTGTGTGGGAGCTGCCAGGGCAGGGCTGGAGCTGTTTCCTGCTGCCCCAGGCCTTGGCCGTGGCCCAGCACCGCTGTTTGGGTGAGGGCAGGAGCTGCTCTGCCCCCAGCCACTCCTCTGGCTGCATCAGGGCTCTGCTCTGGCTGTTGACACGGTGCTGATGTCAGGAAACATGACACAGAGGGCAGGGGACCGTTTTCGCTTACAGTCTAATCTGGCTGCAGTTCCCCAGTCAGTGTAATCCAGTCATAAATTACGTGTATATTGATTATTTGCTTTGTTCTTGCACATTTTACAGCGACTACTATGTTGCTTTGTTTAATTACACAAATGTTTTTGTGAGCTTTGGATTGAAAATTCTAAGATGATTCTTGGTTTAATTTAAATGGTAACTGCTCATTCATTAATTGTGCTTCTATTTCCAAAATTATTTTTATTCTGGGATGGTTCTTGCTTAGCTACAATCTAGATGAGGATTATTTTGGAATTGTAGAGCATATTCATGCAGCCTTTTTTCCTGATCACTGAAGTGTGGATATCATGGTGTAAGCAAATAATATCCTTTGTGCTTCAATGATCTCCAGTCTCAATTTCAAATTTCTGCAAGATGTGCAGGCTTTATTGCATTTCACACCAAAATCTTTTAGAAATAGCCCTGAACAAGCCTGGCTCTCACACTGAGGATGTGTATTGAATATTGATTTAGCTACCCATGTTGTGTGCATATAAACATTTATCTGTGGAGGTCTTGAACAGTCATAAAAGATATTCTCTAAGATGACAGGAGGTGTGCAAGCCAAATTCTGGAGCTCTAAGTGCCTCTAATTCAGGATTTCCTATGCCCTAGAGAATGGACACAATTTCAAAATGCTTTTCAGAATGCAATAGGGGTTGCCAGAGTTGATGGGGCCTTTATCATGTGTGTTGAAAGGATCCCTCAGAAAACATTCAACTGCAGCTACCAGCATTCTTTAACATACCTCAGCCTACATCAGCAACATCAGAGAACCCACCAGGAGTTCCCAGCAGAGCCCAGGGAAGCGATTGTTCATCGGAACAGAAATAAGGAGTTGTGGTTCCCAGAGCAAGCAAAATTTACCATTTTGTAATTTACATTGAGGCATAGAAATGCCACAGTGGCCAGGACTCCTGCTGAACAAAGTTGATGAGGAAACAGTTAATTCCCGCTCAGTTTTGCAGTGAGTGTCCACACCCACCAGATGGAGCTTTGGGCTCCAGTGGAAAATTCCAGAAATTGAGCAAGAATGAGAAGTGTGTAAATGACTTAGGAGATCCCTGTCTGCTGGACTGCAGAAGGTGTTTTTTTAGCCTTTAAATAAAGAAAGAATAGAGACTGAGGCATATCAGCCTTACTGATTCCTTTCACTACCACTGCCTTCCATAGTTCTTCCTCGGATGGGAAGTTGGGAGTTCTTAGTGCAAGAGTCAAGCTGAGGCTAGGCAGCAAGCCCAAGCAGAAAGGTATAACCAGACTTTACTAAACCTTTGATGAAAATGGCCTGTAACCACAGAAACGGGATAATAAAAGTTTTTAGTCTAAGAATTTCCTCCCAAGGATAGGGTGGGTTTTTGTTAATACCACATTTTAGATGGACTTCTCTCCTGAGGCCATGTTTGTGTAGGATGCCCTGAGCAGTGGTGTGAAATGGTCCTTTTGTTTTGACACATAACTTGAAACCGGTTTTGGAAGTTCCTGATCTAATCTCTGAAGTGGTTTTTAATATTTTTAAATCCTTGGCTTTTTGACAAAGGGGCTGTTAACAAATTGCCTGTTTGCCTGTGAGGGAGAGCTGGAGTGTATCCTGTGCACAGCATGCTCAGGTCTGACAGTGCTTTGTCCAGGTAGATCTCCATCAGTTTGATAATGTTAGTTTTAAAGGTGAGGTTTTCAGAGGGTGCAGTGTGGGGTTTGTGTTGGTTCCTCTTTCATGTGCCCAGTCCTGTTTCTCCAAGCAGGAGGACAGGTGCTGGCTCTGCAGCCCAGATCCCTGCTGGAGCTGAGCACTGAGCAGCTGAAGGACCACCCTGGGCAGTTCCTCCCTGCTGCAGGTGCCTCGGGGGCCAGGCTGAGGAGATGCTCTCCGCTGGAAATGTCGTTGTTACAAAACCAGCTCCCTCCAGGATTACAGCGGATTGCAAAAGGAGCCCTCACTTGTCTGGCATTTCAAATGTGCTGCTGAAGTGCAAATCTCATTACCTTCACAGGAGTGTGGGTGCACAGCCCTCGCAAAACTAGGCCAGAAATGCTTAAATAAGGAGGGAAGGGAAGAGTCCAAGGGAAGAAAGTGAGAATGCTCCATGTCAGCCAGTGAGGTGTGTTGGAATGGGCTCTTTAATCACTCGGTACAGGGAGGAGAGAGAGTTAATTGCAACTCTTACTTTCAAGGAAGCTCTTAGTAGTTTCTGTTCTCCCAAATTCTCTCTCTCTGATACTTCTACTCCGCTTTTGTCTCACTTGCTCACTCTTCCCTGAGATAACCCTTGTGCTTCCTGGCTATCGCTGTTCCTTGCTCAGCTGTCCTGGAATTGCCAGGTCCCAGAGTCACAGCACTGTCCTCATGTGAAATATAGAATATTCTACACCATCACACCACAGAGCATCATTTCGCCTGCTTACACAGAGAGGCAGTTTTCTGATGCTGTGGGAACCACAGGTTCCTTTTCTTGCTTATTTCCCCTGTATTTTAAGAGATTTCACTCTGTGTTGCACTACAAGCTTTCTCTGCAAATTGTTTTGTGGCTGGTTTCCTAGAGCGTGCTATGAAAGGCAGTTTGCTGGGGAAGTTGTTAAAAGTTACCTTGTTTCAAAAGCAGTTGGAGTGGGGATATAAAAAGTATCAAGAAACCAAGTCTTGTTTCATCTCGCCCAGGAACACAGAGCTGCTGCCAGCTCTGATGTATGATTCTGTGTTGGGCAGTTAGGTATAAACCAGTGACTTCTTCAGCTTGAAATATTGGCAAAATACTGGCTAAAATCAAAGGAATTTGGATGACATTAAATAAGAAGCATGCCAGATACTTGGGGATCCTTGTCAGCAGCACAGCACAGGGAAATGATCCTCAGTGTTTGGGAGACCCAGCATGGGATGAAGTACTTCCCTGAGCTCAGTATCATCAGCCTGATGCAGTAATTGCCACTGATCTGCTCTCGAGGCTGATGGCTCCTCACCCAGAAGTGTGTGTGCTGCAGGGAGGACACCCTGGGAGAGAGTTCATTTGGACTTGCTAGACACACAGGGACACAGTCTGCCTTTTAGTCAGAAAAAGATCCAGTGTGAAACAAAATAACCCATCATCCATCCATCCATGGCTGAAGGTGTGGGTGGTGCTCTTGTTAAAGCACATGCAATATTCCAATATTCAGTTTTACTGACATGTGAAGTATTTTAAGAATGTTGTCTTTTTTAATTTCTTAAAATGTTGTAGTGTCTTGTGTTGAAAGTGTACTTGCCAAAGAAAAGCACTCTGTATTTCAGGCTGTGGATGTTCTTCTGAATAATCAAGAGATTAAAATCTCACCATTTATATTGCCCTGTTCCCTGGCAGAGTAATTATTAATGACTCGACAAGTTTTGTTTTTTATAAACTTCAGATATTTGCTATTTTCAGACGTCATGGTTCTGATGTTATATGTTGTATCTCCAGTGTGTGCAAGACTGACTTTGTATCCGTGGGTGATGCCAGTTGAAGAGGGCTCAGTCTTCCAACAAAGCGTGATCCTTTACTTGCCATTCCCCCAAACCTCCCATCCTCTGCCAGTTGTAATCTGAGTGCTTCCCAGGGAAAAGTGTGTCCCCAGGGCTGTGGCTGAAGGCCACGTCACCTGTTTGATGTCCCATGTGGTGTAAGGTGGGACCTGTTTGTGTGGGAACCTCCAAGGAAGTGTCCAGGGATGGTACCAGTGTCCCTGAGACATCAGGTGCAGCTGTGCTGTGCTGCTGAAAGCTCAGGTGAGGTGCACGTGGGGCTGAGCCCTGGCACTGCAGAGGGTGGATGGAGCGTGAGGAGGAGCATTCCCAGCCTCTGCACTGCTGGCTTTCTGAGCTAGGTACCTGAGCTGAAATCTGAGCGCTGCAGCGTCCCTTGTTGGAGCACAAACCTGCTCAGACTTGCTGCAGCACAGCTGCCCTGCAGCCCTGACAGAGACAGGGGCTGGGCTTGGTACTGATCACTGCCAGACTGCCCCTATCTTATCTCTTATCTCTTATCTCTTGTCTCTGTTTTGTCCAGCAGGATATGAGCCTTCCTCTGTGGCCGGGCTTTGGGCTCCCCCTGGGGCTGTAACAGCCCTGAGGGGGCTGTTCTGCAAGGAGAATTGGCTTTGGAGGCTTGTGCTTGAAACTTGTCCAATGAGTCTGAGACGCCTAAGCACCATTCATTTTGGAGGTAAATGCCTCATCAGAAGCACTGCAGAGATGGGGAGGAGTAAAGATTTTCATTTGGCAAAGTATGGGCAAAAAGTCGTTGAGAGAATAGTTCTGACTGTTCATTTCTGAGGTTTGGACATTTTGAACTTAAAGGAACACCAACTTGGAATCTTGAAAAATTGAGAGGTTGGGGGCCTTTGGATTCAATCACTGGCAGCTTCACTGCAGATTAATTGGTTTCCTGGTTTAAATTTTTCACTCTTCTGGCATCAAAGGTGAAAGTGAAAGTTGGTTTAGACTGCAGAAGAGATTACTCTGGAATGCTAAACAAACAGGGGGAAACCCTCTGACTTGGGACAGGGAAGTTCAGAGATCTGCAATTTAAGTTGGATGTCCCTTTAAGTTATTCCTTGGAATATTACATGACTTATTTGAATCTCAAGTGAAATGTTTAATTTTGGAAATTCAGCTGAAATGTTCTTTATTAAGGTATTTTCTATCATTTGTCTATGAACTGATCAGTCATAGTGGGCTGTATAAAGGGAGGGAAGAATCCTGTGAAAAGATAAAACCAAAGGGGAAAAACCCCTAAGAGCAAACCAAACAAAAACAAATGAAAGAAAATATAACAATGACAGATTGAAATGTTGGTACTTGCCTTGCGTGGGGGGAGGGAGAATCATTTGCATGATGTGTTTCACTTGCAATTTGCTCCATGTTATTGTTATTGAAATTGAACCAGGTTACTGATAAAATTGTAATGATAATGTACATTTACAAAGTTAATGAGTTAAGTTTGCTCTAGTAAACAGCAGTAATGTCCTGGCACCCAGCCCACAGAAAACTGAAACTGTGGTACAGATTTGCAGTGTCTGGGTTGCACTGAGGATGCTGATCCTGGGTTCCTGTTGCTTTTTGATTTTAATGCCAACTGTTACTGAGAAATTTTTAATACCCAAACCCAGGCTGGCTGGTAGAGAGCTACCCTTTTAATGAAGTAATTTTTAGCATAATCTGAATCTTATATACTAATGTGTTACCACACTGCATGAATTTTTTTGATTATGGTGTTTGACTCTGCTGCAGCCCTTCCCTTTTAGCATTATTATGGATATTAAGAAATTTGGGGTTGAATTATTGGAATGAAAACCATGGGATCATGATACAGACCTAACAAAGGCAATGGACCAGAGTAGAGGGTTTAAGTGTGTGGGGTCGGGTGTATTGTAGGGGAAAGGAACAGCTTTTAGAATAAGGGTTTGAAACATTGCTTTTTCTGTAGGAAAAAGATGGAGTATTGCATGCTGGGAACAAGTGCTTTCCATAAGGTAGCTAAATTTTAAAAGTACATTTGTTTCATTTTGTTTTAGGCTTTGCTTAAGTATTGTAATCTAGTAATTTTGTCCTTTCTGCAGTTTTCATTTTGATTAGACCTCTGCAAATCTTTCTTCAAAACTTAACAAAAACCCAACCAAAAACGCAGACCTGGCCTACACCTGCAGTTTGCCATTTCTGAAACATTGCTCAGTGTGTACAGAAAAATATTTGAGGATTATCAATAATTGTATTAATTCTTCCATGATTTCAAAATTGCAGATACTAACACTGTTACATTTGAAAATGTGAATGTGTTTGGTGACTACAGAGAAATGACCAAAAAGTAAAAACAATTTGTTAAATGTAGTCTCCATTCACATCTCTTTAGAACCAAAAAGCCTCAAGCCTCAAAACACCATCCCCAAGAAGCCCCACCCCTCAGGAATGCTGTCAGCAGGAATTCCAAGTAAATAGTCTCCTTTTTTTCCCTTTGTTCCTGTGAATAGCAAGACATAACACAATGGAGGAAGTCTGGGTAGATGAGTCAGGACTTATTTCATTAACTGCAGTTAAATGTTTTGGCCAGGTTTCCCCAGGAAACAAAGCTTACACAATTTTTCAGATTGTGGCTTGTCTCCTGAGCCCCCCCTCCCTCCTCCCAGCCAAGAGAGCCATTTTCACCCAGATTGGGTGGAGATGGAGGTCTGGAAAGAAAAATGAGCACCTTTAAGTTGGATTAAGTATCTCTCCAGGAAGAGAGGAGGCAGGTTTGAAGGTCCCCAAGTTCCCTTCACACCTCTGTCCACACACAGCCTGTTCCTCAGCGGGAGCAGCAGTGCCGAGGGGCTGCCAAGGCTCTGGGGGAGGAGGAGCTGCAGGGAGGGGACAGAAGTGCCACTGCTCAGCCGGGGCCACTGCCCTACTCCAGGCCCCTGGAGCTGGCCCGGCCTGGCCTGACCCAGCTCAGAGCCAGCCCAGGCTCAGCAGGGAGGAGGAGGAGGAGGAGCAGGGCAGTGCCTTGACTGAGTGTGTGAAGTGTGCAGCTCCAAATGAGGTGTTGTGCCTGACTGAGTGCTTGCATAGAGTGCATTATTCCATGGATACAATATTATTGCAGGTACAGCAGCAGCTCATGATGCCCCGTAAAGCTTTTCTTTCCCAGAAAGAAAAGCAGGCTCGTGCCAGGGAAAGGGATATGTTAAAAAAGAGGAGGAGGCGACAAGACTATCTCAAAAGAAGCGTGGAGCCACAGAAAAACACAGAAACAATAAAATGGCACAGGGATGATGAGAAGAGGAGAGAAAATGAGCAAGTTAAGGACAAAGATATCAAGAAGCGGTGGAGACAGGATGAGAGAGAACGACGAAAGAATGTGGACGCTATGAATTGGCACAGGGAAGAGGAGAAGAGGGAAAATGAGCGAGGTAAGGACCAAGAAGGCCAAGAACCAACAAAGAAAGGAGGAGAGGGGGAAAGAGCATGGAAAGGATGGACCTTGTGAAGCAGTAGAGGATGACAAGGGGGAGAGGGGAAAACAGAGAGGAGTAGTTGTTTTTTATAAGCATGCACAGAAGTAACAGCAAATAGTATATTTTAGTTTAAAATTGATTAAAATGTTGCTTTAATGATCTAGAGTTCCTACACTGCTGATTATTTTATTAAGGTAAGATTGACCCAAGGATGTCTGAACTCAGTCACGATGGGACAGAACAGGCTGGGTTTGCACTTTGCTCATACAAATGTCTGTTTTGCACACTTGCTCACACCTAATGCTTTGTTCAGCACTGCAGTTGGTAATTCTGGTTGCCAGATCACCAAAAAGCTCAGGTTTTCTCAGTATTCATAATAGGAATAAATGAGAACATTAGGATGGGAAGGGTCAACTTCATGTGCTCCTAAGAAAAAACTGATGCTTTATTTCATTCTTTTTAATAATGTTCCTAGGAGGGTTGTAATCGCATCCACAGTTTTATTCTGAGGTCAGTTCCTTAGCAAAAGTTGGATGGAAGTGTAAATTTCATGGAGTGCTTTTAAGAAATGCTCAGCTCAAGGGATAAAAAGAAGAAATGAGAAGAACTTTAAGAAGAAATTCTTCCCTGTGAGGTCCTGACAGAGGTATCCCAGAGAAGCTGTGGCTGCCCCTGGATCCCTGGCAGGGTCCAAGGCTGGGTTGGACAGGGCTTGGAGCACCCTGGGATAGTGGAAGGTGTCCCTGCCATGGCAGGGGTAGAACTGGATGAGCTTTAGAGTCCCTTCCCACCCAGGCTATTCCATGATGATCCTATGAAGGATTTACCTCAGTGCAGGAGGGGTAGCTGGAGTGGCCTCTGTGAAGCTGTCCCCTGGCCAGCTCATACAGGTCTGGGATGCCTGAACGAGATAAAAGGCACAGGGCACTACAGGGTTTGTTTACAGCTCTTGGGGATTCCATAATTGGTTTTCACTTGCCATTTCCCAGTGATGCTGTCCCCAGACCCTGCTGAGTGCAGGCTCCTGCTCAGTGCAGTGCTCAGGGTCCCCCACCTTCTGTGCCTGCTGCCCTGGCAGTGGCAGGACATGGTGGCATTTCCAGTTAAGCATAAAGAGAAGAAAACCTAGAGTAGGTTTGCTAGAAAACTGGAGTGGTGCTGTCATGGTTCCTTTACACAGCAGCATCTTCCAGCAGATGATTTCTTTAGGACTTAGTTGCTGGTTGAAAGCCACCGTTTTACTCTGCATTAGACAGTAGAAATCCATTGTGCTTGGTTGTTCTGTACCATAGCTGAGACACCAGCCAAGGACAAGGAGCACCCTGAATAATGTCCAGGCATGAAAGTAACACAGCAGGGCACACCTGGAATATTGGCTGAAGATTCCAGTGGAGGGAAAAAGGCTGTGTTGGTGTGAAGCTGCACATGGGAAGATTCCCCCATTTCCTGGGTCAGAGCAGGAGCTGCCCAACACCTCTTACCTGGGGCATTGGGGGGGGTCCTGACCAGGACCAAAGTCCAAGAGACCCACTGGAGAATTAAGACTTCAGTTGTACTAAAATAGAAACAGCTTTTGCAGTATAGAGAGAGGTGCAGGCTTTCTGTCCTTTATCCCCTCTGCTGATATGACTGCTGTGGGGGTTTGGTGTTTGTCCCTGTCTCCAAGGGCACACCTCTGGGGTCAGAGTGCAGTGCAAGGTTCCAGATACAGCTCACACTCACTGTGCTTCCTTTGCCATTCCCCTGTCAGTGGTGCAGTCAGACAGTTTGTGTACACACACTCTGGACATGAGGGAGAGCTTTGGGATCTGCCTTCTGAGGCACCTGAAGATGCTGCCTGGGTATTTCTAGTCAGGGCATTGTTGGGGTTGGTTTTAAGCAGTCACTTATTCATTCCACCCAACACTTCATGTGGGTTGATGTGGTCAAAAATGCTTCAAGTGTCTTCCCTTAAACATCAGCTTTTGGTCAGATAAAGGATGTCTCATTTCCAGAGCAGCATTAATGCCTAGATGATTATTTGAGAGGCTGCTTAATCCCAACTACTTTTATGTCCCCATCCAAGGACATCAAGGAGGTGCCAGCAGAGTGATGTTTACATTGCAATTGGAGTTACTTGTTGTAAATAGAAATGAATGGAGATGCTAAAAGCTTTTGTTGTAGTCACAGTCTGTAGTAATATCAGATTGTATCTGGCTCTCCATTCACTACTCACTGATGAAATAGTCAGAAAATAAATAAAATAAAATGGACTAAATTTGCCTAACAATGAGGGGTTTTGTTATGATTGGGTGAGTTGGATTCAGCTATCCAGCAGAACTTGCAAAGTAAGGTTGATGTTAAAAGCTGACATCTAAAAGTTCAGGTTTCAGGTGTGAAGATCTGGTTCTGTCCTCTGTTAGGATGGGTTGTGATAGGAAGATACAGGGATTTTCATGTCTTTAAAATTTGACTGAGGCAGGCAAAGGGCAGGAGCAAGAAGATGCTGCAGGTAGACCAGAGATGTTATTTTCAGGCAGTTGTAAATAACTGGCTTTCTTTGACTTCCTGTGTGTCATAGTACCTGTGGCTCTATTAGACACCAGAACTAAGAGAAAGCATTTGATTCCTTTGGTGAAGAAGTTCAGTGGTGTTTTGAAATCAGCTGTTTTATATCAAGCAGTATTTTGAGACTTGTGGCTGACTCAGTTGTACAAGTGATCAGTGCCTTAAGACAAGCTCTGCACTGACTCTGGCTGTGTCATGAGACCAAAAATGCTTTTCTTTGCAAGCACAGGGTTTCATTCTTCAAGTGGGGACTTGGGTTTCGAGGAAAGCAGCCCGGCTTGCCAGGAGCTTTATTATACACTGTGTTCATGCACTGCTCTTTCTGCAGTTCATATTAATCACCAGAAATAACATTTCTGATGATCTCCTTGGATTTGAAATTCACTAGAAAATATTAACTCAAATCCTGACCATACCTGATTGAGCTGTGTCACTGAATTTTTTTCTGAAAAAGGGGATCATGCAGCGACTGGAGGTGATTCTGAAGCACTGAAATCACTCTTCATGTCTTTAAAAGGCACCTGGCTTGCTCTAGGTTGTATTGGACATCATTTTAACAGTACAGATGAGGATGGATATAGCATAGGAAAAGAGCAGTTCATGAGTTGGATTCCTTTCAGTTGGGCAGCCCCAGCCAAGCCCAGTGGAACTGTGGGCATTGATGGGAGGGAGCCTGACAATTCCCAGGGACACAGAGAGATTTAAGCCATCCCTTGTACTTTTCCCAGTGGTTTCTCTCTCTCTGGAGGGATCTGACCAAGCTTTCAGATCCCTTCTTCCTAGGAGAATGTTTGGTAAACAGCTTCAGCCAGCTGAGTACAGTAGAGGGAGGAAACAGCGTTCATTTCTTACCTACAGCAGGATATGAGAAGCATCTTTAGCACTGAAGAGACACTGAAATGTCTTGCAAGACTGACACAAACCTTGAAGCTCAACTTGCCAGTTTTGAGATCAGTTAGGAGACATTGCACAAAAGTGCCCTTTGCGGCCCCATGAGCAGCCCCAGCAGGGAGCAAGCCAGAGAATGTAACAGTGTGTTAGGGAGTGGTACAGCTCTGGTACCAGTTCTGTGGGGGAATGAGGGAGACAATTGCTGATAATTAAAAGTGCAGCACTATCAGACAAACCACATTTGACTTAAACCTTTTCTCTTACTTTTCTTTTCCAATAGAAACTATGTTCCAACTTCCTGTCAACAACCTTGGCAGTTTAAGAAAGGCCCGGAAAACTGTGAAAAAAATACTTAGTGACATTGGTTTGGAATACTGTAAAGAACATATAGAAGTAAGTATGGAACCTCCAAGGGTTAGAGCTAAAATGCTGCAGAGTTAGGGGGACAGGGAGGTGTTTGTGTATGCCATGATTTATTTGTAGACTTGTTGGGGTTCCACACAAAGTAGGAATTACTTAGAAACTTGAAATATAATGTACCTGTAAACACTTCTAGAAACATTAGTGGCTACTGAAATCCAGAAATGCTGGAAGAAGCAGGAATGATGTGGGATGTTGGGGCAGGCATGGGGCTGAGGTTTTCAGGAAGTGTTTTTGGTGCAGCAGGTCCTGAGGTTATAGAATCACCTTTGTGCCTGGGTCAGTTCCTGCAAGGGAAAGGTGTTCGTGCTGCTCTTCGGGACAAACTCTATCACTATGGCTTTGCCTGTTCCTTCGGTGTCTTATTAAAGAGCATTTAAGTGAGATGTGTACAAAAGAAACACCAGTCCTTCCTGCTTGTAGAATTTGTGGAGCAAGTCTCATGTTTAAGGGGAAAATTCTGACCTGGGACAATGTTACTTGCAGTATTCATTTCAGTGGAAGTGTTACTTTTGAGTCCTTATGTGCTGCTGACTTCATGCCAAAGAAATGCTTCACAAGATAATTTTTTTAATAAAAATTGGGTGTCTTGGGCATCACACATATCCAACTTTAAAAGCTTCCTATGTGAAATGAATTAAAAGCCAAAGAAAACAAATCAAACAAAATAAATACCACACCACCACCCCCAGAAAAAGCAGCCAAAAACCCCAAACCCACACACCAGTTTGGGAACACTTTTCTCCAGGACTGCTTTTAGAATGAGATGAGTTTGTAACCACAGCTGTTGGCTTGGTCAGGAGGATGAGTGGTGAAGATGTTCCACAGGAGAATATTCAGAGCTCCCCCATACTGCCCCACTGCCCTGAGTGATGGGCTCTGCCTTGGCCAGCAGCACCTGGGAGGGTGAAGGGGATGCTCAGGGATTGCTTAAAGGAAGTCCATGGGCCTTGGTTCTGATTCTGTCCTCTCTTGCCATCTTCCCTTCTCCAGGATTTTAAGCAGTTTGAACCTAATGACTTTTATTTGAAAAACACTACATGGGAGGATGTGGGACTGTGGGACCCATCGCTTACAAAAAACCAGGTTGGTAAGAGTTTCAGTTGGTGCTGAGGCTGGAGATGGGTCGTGCTGAAGGGCATTTCCCAGACATGCCAAGAGCTTTTCCTGCAGTTTTCCTCACAGGTTTTCAGGTGTTGGCAGCTCAAGGGACAGCAGAAAGCTACATGCTTTTTTCTTAGTTTTGTGAAGTCTGGTGTGTATCTCAGGAGCTGGGTGGCAGAGCTGATGGTCCTTGCTCAAGTCAAGCAGATGCACATTAGGAGCCCATTCCCATCTGCTCCCAAGCCTAGCACAATTTCATCAGTCCTCTGGCCAAAGGATCAACAGCTTTATACAATTGGCAGTGAGTCTTTCACCTTTCCTTGAATGTTTTATTCCTGGTTTCCATCCCTTCCAAAGCGGTTTCACTGGACACTCTCTGCTGCTTGGTGCAGGGTCACTGTCAGTGCAGCCCTGGGTCCCACAGGCTGTGTCCCACATCTGCTTTGGGCATTTCTGGTTCTGCTCAGCAGCTCAGTGACACTGGAAGTCCTGCTGTTGTGGTGTTTCTGAGCTAGTAATAAAGGAATTTTGAGTTGAGCCAGCAGTGGCGGGAGGAAACGATGCTGTTGGTTCCAGCAAGTGTTGTGGGCTGCAGCAGCCTCTGCTGGGGCTGCAGGACAGAGTCACCCCAGCAGTGACAGGTCAGAAAGCCCTCAACAAAGGAGTCCCTGTGTGAGCACCTCAGAGCTCAGGGACTGCTCTCAGGACCTAGGGACCTTTTCTAGGAGCTCAGCTGCAGGGAGGAGACTTTTTGTGACTGACTCAGCCTCACCTGCCAAGTCACGGCCAAACCCTTGAGGGACCCTTTGGCACTCCCCACGTCGTGAGTTTGTTCATGTGGTCAGCTTTTTAGGCCAGAAATGGGAGAGAAGTGAATTGAAGGTTTGAGACAGTTGCAGAGGGTCTTGTGAGTATTGTTTAGAAAGGTTGTGTAGAGAATATCATGGGTGTTATTTCGCTGAGAAGTGCTGTTGAATATTTAGTCTGTGCTCTGTTCTCTGTTCAAGGACTATCGGACAAAGCCCTTTTGCTGCAGTGCATGTCCCTTCTCCTCGAAGTTCTTTTCAGCCTACAAAAGCCACTTCCGGAATGTTCACAGCGAAGACTTTGAGAACAGGATCCTGCTCAACTGCCCCTACTGTACCTTCAACGCGGACAAAAAGACTTTGGAAACGCACATTAAAATATTCCACGCTCCCAATGCCAATACACCGAGTGGAGGCATCAGCACTTTCAAAGATAAAAACAAACACGAGAGCCTTAAACCCAAGCAGGCTGACAGTGTGGAACAAGCTGTTTATTACTGTAAGAAGTGCACTTACCGTGACCCGCTCTACGAAATCGTTCGAAAGCACATTTACAGGGAACATTTTCAGCACGTTGCTGCTCCTTACATAGCCAAGGGAGGTGAAAAGTCCCTCAATGGTGCAGTTCCATTGAGCTCCAGTGCCCGAGAGGAGGGGGGTATCCACTGCAAACGATGCCTTTTCATGCCGAAATCCTACGAAGCTTTAGTGCAGCACGTGATCGAAGACCACGAACGGATCGGATACCAGGTCACGGCAATGATAGGTCACACCAACGTAGTGGTTCCGAGATCGAAACCTTTGATGCTCATAGCTCCCAAACCCCAGGATAAAAAGCCTATGGGACTCCCTCAGAGGATGAGTGCCCTCTCCGCCGGCAGCGTCCGCTCGCTCTCGTCACAGCAGATGATGAACAGACTCACCATACCAAAGCCCACGTTAAATTCTGCAGGAGTCAATATGATGTCAAATGTTCACCTACAGCAGAACAATTACGGGGTTAAATCGGTACCCCCCAGTTACGTGGGTCAGCCAGGGGGGAGGCTCAGCCTCAGTGGCAATTCACCTGTTTCTCTTTCCCAACAATCACAAAGCATGAAACAGTTTTCAGCGAGTGGCAATGGAAGGTCTTACACTCTGGGAGGGGAGCAGAGGTCCCAGGCCAGGTACTCGCTGCAGTCTGCCAACTCCTCCTCGCTGTCGTCGGCGCAGCTCAAGCAGACGTCGCTGTCGCAGTCCCAGGCAGCGTCCAGAGCTCTGGGCCAGTCTGGCTCCAAATCCCCCGTGGCTGCTACAGGTCCTTCCGCTGTCAACACCTCGTCCACGCAGAAGTGGAAAATCTGTACAATCTGCAACGAGCTGTTCCCCGAAAACGTGTACAGCGTCCACTTTGAGAAGGAGCACAAGGCCGAGAAGGTGCCTGCGGTGGCCAACTACATCATGAAAATCCACAACTTCACGAGCAAATGTCTCTACTGTAACCGCTACCTGCCCACGGACACGCTGCTCAATCACATGCTGATCCACGGGCTGTCCTGCCCCTACTGCCGCTCCACCTTCAACGACGTGGAGAAGATGGCTGCCCACATGCGCATGGTGCACGTGGACGAGGAGATGGGACCTAAAACTGACTCCACGCTGACCTTTGATTTGACATTGCAGCAGGGCAGCCACACCAACATACACCTCCTTGTCACCACCTACAACCTGCGGGATGCTCCTGCCGAGTCCGTAGCTTACCACGCTCAGAACACGCCCCCGGTCCCGCCAAAGCCGCAGCCCAAAATCCAGGAGAAATCTGACGTACCCGTCAAAAGTTCTCCACAAGCAGCGGTGCCCTACAAAAAAGATGTGGGGAAAACTCTGTGTCCTCTGTGCTTTTCAATCCTAAAAGGCCCCATCTCTGACGCGCTGGCACATCACCTGCGGGAGAGGCACCAGGTAATTCAGACGGTTCACCCCGTGGAGAAGAAGCTGACCTACAAGTGCATCCACTGCCTGGGCGTGTACACGAGCAACATGACGGCCTCCACCATCACGCTGCACCTGGTGCACTGCAGGGGTGTGGGCAAGACCCAGAACGGGCAGGACAAAGGGACGTCGTCCCGGCTGGGCCAGTCGCCGGCGGCCGCGCCCGTCAAACGCGCCTACGAGCACATGGAGTTCCCCCTGATGAAGAAGAGGAAGATGGACGACGATGACTCCCCCTCGGCCTTTGAGGAGAAGCCTGAAGAACCTGTAGTTCTAGCACTGGACCCCAAGGGTCACGAAGATGATTCGTACGAAGCCAGGAAAACATTTCTTACAAAATACTTCAATAAGCAGCCCTACCCCACTCGGAGAGAGATCGAAAAGCTGGCGGCCAGTTTGTGGCTCTGGAAATCTGATATCGCATCTCACTTCAGCAACAAAAGGAAGAAATGTGTTAGGGATTGTGAAAAATACAAACCTGGGGTGCTGCTGGGCTTCAACATGAAAGAGCTGAACAAAGTCAAACACGAGATGGATTTTGATGCTGAATGGCTGTTTGAAAACCACGACGAGAAGAATTCCAGAGTCAATGTCAGTAAGACTGTTGATAAAAAAATCAGCTTAGAAAAAGACAATGACAGTTCCTCAGACAGCTACGAAAACCTAGAGGAGGAATACAACGAGAGCCGCAGTCCCTTTGGCCAGCACATGTCTGACCTTGGTGGGAAAGCCTCGTCCGACAGCACAGTGCAGAACCCCCAGGACAGCATAGCCAAGGAAATCACGGAGGAAAACACCTTACAGTCTCCAGAGAAGGCTGAGCAAAAACAAGAGGAAAGCTCCAAATACGAAGAGATGATTGCTGCTGAGGAGCCAACAAAACTGGTAGGTGAGGTCTCAGATAGTGAAGGTGATCAGGATGACCAGGATGATGCAGTGGAGTGGAAAGATGGAGCTTCCCAGTCCGAAAGCGGGCCCGGTTCCCAGCAGGTTTCGGATTTTGAAGATAACGCCTTGGAGGTAAAACCAGAAGTGTGGACAGATGAATCTTCCCAAAGCGAAGATGCCGGGAGCAGTAAACCCACCGTGGAGGCCAAGGGGGGTGGATCTGAAAGTGATGAAGAGCAGTCAAAGTGGAAGAATCGTTCCTATGGAAAAGTAGAAGGGTTTTGGTCCAAGGACCAGTCGCAATGGAAAAACGCCTCCGAGCTGGAGGAGAGCCTGGCCAGCGAGCAGATGGAGTGGCAGAGCAGCACAATGGACAGCGAGGACGGCGAGGGCTTCGGGGCCGTGGGGGCCGAGCCCATGCACGGCAGCCTGCCCGGGGTGGAGCTCAGCAGCCAGCAGGCGTGAGCAGCTCTGCTGGG